ATCCATATCACAAACTGAATAAACGCACATAGACATCCATGCTCTAGTGGGAATCGAACACACGATCCCAGTGAGCGAGCGAAGACGGTTCATGGCTCAGACCTCGCGGCCATTGTGATCGGCGCTGTGCAGAGATACTCAGTTGGAATTCGAGCAACCACAATGCAACGGTTTTCAGATTTTTTGTTTTGTTTTTGATTAGTGAATTCTGAAACCGGTAAGCAAATGTCTGGACCCCACGGTACCGAAGTTCTTAATTCTCTTATAAAATGAATGAACAGTGGTCACATTTATGCCTGTCATTATGTACAAGTTGTTTTGAGTCGATTCAGCATAAAATGTTTCAGTGGGACTGTTTTAAATTACGAATGTGGGCCAATGGTGTCTCTAACACGCTCTGTAGCAGATGCAAGGGTACCGAACCCACAGTTTGAGAAACGATGCCTTAATGGAGCCTAAGAAAAATAATTTTGTAAATAAATACTGTAATTCTTATTCAGGAGATGAAGTCCTTATGCAAGTATAACAAAATCAGTTTTGTTGATATTCATGAATTTTTCAGCTTGTAATGTAGTAATATTTTACTTTATGTTCATTTCACGTTTCTTTCTTTCTTCCAGCAGGGGGAGCGGGGGGCAGTGAGGGGGGAGGCGACTGAAAGTAGTTCATAACTGAATGCTGTAACGGAATAAAATATTACCAAGTGCGAAACCAAATATGGTTCAGTATTCATATCTCCTATTCCTCCCTTAAGGAGCACTGTTGTAGTTAATGGCAAATATGACCGATTTTAATTATGTGCGTGAGAAAGAAACTCTGATGGAATTTCTGTGTGCAGACGAACAAGCCTGGAAATGGCCGTTGCGCATAACATAACAGTTCTGGCATATAATGCGTGTTTCGGTTTTATCTGCAACTTCTGTTCGAAATATTTTTGGCTCAGATAAATGTTACGGAGTTACGTTCAAGATACGCCCCAAAACGCATATGGGACTAAGTCTTCAATTGCCCATTATTACTGTCTGATTTTAACCAAAATTGGAATCTTCATAAATTTTTGTAAAATTCCTCTGTATCAAATTTAATGAAACTCTCTTAAGCGCCTTCAATTTATTACATGCAGACAGATTAACAGATATGGCAAAGGTAATAAACTAATTTTTGCATCATTTCCTTGCGAACATGCCAAAAACATCTCCCTGCCACCACTGCCTTAGCACCGTAAGGATTTGGTTTCGGAGTTTATTGACTTGAGTCTTACTTAGGGCGCCCCCCCCCCCTTTCTAATTTTGGACACGAGACCGGTTAACCTCGCCACGTTATCCAGTCCTTCTGCTCTTTGGTCTACATGGTCCTGAAACAGACCACGATCTCATCTTTTTACATTCCCAAAATTCGCCATTCATAATTATCCCGCCATTTTGCATTTGGCACTTGACTGTATAGGTCTAAGATATGCAGTTGACACAACTGGGTTAATAAATGTCTGTCTTCAGTGTATCGCCTTTCAATTAAAAATATTCCAGAGTAGCTGGAATAGTTCTTTACAATAAGCTACTGAATTTCCATGACTACGACACGCGTCTAAAATGATCCAAATGTTTGTCTTTGCTAGGGTAGTTTAAAAAGCAGGTATATGAAAATCCATTTTTTTTCGAAGCCGAATCGAGAAAATAAAATACAAATGTTCAACTTTGATTTTTTTTTTTTTTAGTTCCAGACTTCGAGAATTTTCAGACTACATAGTCTATCAAAATCATAATGGTTGACAACGCTGGCACCAATAAACAAAATTTATCTGTCTCCTTTTGACCATGGTCAATGTCCTTGCATTATTCTAGAATTTAATTCGTTGTAATCATAATGATTTATCAAAGAAACACATTCGTTGTGATAGGATCTGATATCCAAAGGGATAAGTTTAGTGCACTGCGAAAATATGGTTGTGTTATAAATTGTTTACAACAATAACAACAACAACAACAACGACAACGACAACGACAGCTCGATATAGTGGAGAAGACTCGTCGTCTCACCTCCGGATTATCTTGTTGATCTTATCTGAAGTTGTTATATGATCGACAAACTATGCTACTGATGTACACTGCATTTTGGCCTATTCAGCACAAACCTTTCTTTCCTAACCGAATATGATTTAAAGACACGCACACACTATTCTCGCCTCTTTCACCGGCATTCAAGAAACATGCTCAGTTACTCTCTGGAAGATTTCTTTCAGTAGCTTCCACCGCACGAAGTAATGGTACCACATGGATGTTCAGAAAATGTGAAATCAGAACTTTGAGGTGGGATCGGCTGGGGCACCAGAATTTGCCTGTCAACTCCCACGGACCCCCTTTTTCTGAACATCAACACGTTTTAAGAAATGTGGAATAGTAGTCAAATATAGTGAGGACGAAGAATAGTGCGTCTTTTCAATCATTCCAGATCTTTTGGGAGAAGGCCTCCAATATCTTTGTAATTTGACACAATTTATAGCTCAAATGTAACTGTACAAGGAAATGTTTTAATGGAATGACGTACCTAATCACAAGGCGCAGTAGGAGGATGTAAGCAGCAGTCTTTATTTTACTGATCTGCACAGCTTACGGCGCAGAAATGATTTCTCTAGAGCGCAACAGTTTCTGGGAACGACCATTCCCAGAGCAAGGATCTGCAGTATCTTCGATACTTGACTCAAGACAAATACTAACACAAGAAACAGAGGAGTTTTATGCTGCGTTCCCCGCCAAGGGATTTAACGTGGTACAATTTCTGGTTTACCTGTTGTAGAGAACCTTGTCCAACTGATAACACTCCTTTGGATTATTTTGTTCCTGTTAGTGTCGAAACAACCCTGAAGCGGTATTTACAGAGTCAATTTCACTATGTTAGCATCATGACTAAGCATGGCTTTGCGTCAACATTGTACCATGCACAACCTAATGTAAATGCGAAGAAGTGAGACAGTCCTTCGGCAATTAACAGCTTTAACCAACGAAGTGAATAAATTGAATGGATATGTATCCATACTGTGATCTTAGGAGGATACGAAACAACCATTTGTATGAATTATCATTCCACATTGCTCCGTTTTTTTTATACTCCGACTTAATTCAGAAAAGAATGCTAATTATTATAATATAATGCCCATATCTTTAGAGCCGGAATACTTGTGATAAGTTGCATGGATTCCCCAACTTAATCATTTCTCTTTTCAACGATTTCAAGCACCCATGTTCTTGACTGCATTGTACAACTACTGCGTTTATCTCGATCATGTGGACACATGAAACCATGTGATTGTTTCAACGTAATTTGCGTTGTACAGACATTTTGTTCATTCATTGATGGTAGATGGCAGGAGCAAGCACATGAGCTCGAAGTCGCCTCATTGAAAATTGTACTTATTGTGCCATCTGTTGTCGCTCTTGTTGAACAATTTCAGTTTCCCGACTTACCCAATACGATTTGATGATGTCGCAGCGGTAGTTATCGGTTATCAAGAGGGGTCTGAAAGTCTGAAAAGCAACGTCGTGTAAGTCCGCTGAAAGTCAAGCGATGTTGGGGGAACATATCGCCTCCATCTTCAGGGTTGAATATGCCGAGAAACATACGAGCGTGATGGCAGGTTACAGCGAAAACATCGGCTGAATTTCAAAGGACTGCACAGCGTTATGTACTAGAAGATAGTAAGTAAAAGTAAAGCTATCCCAGTAACAGGCCGTGAAGGCCCAAAGGGTTCTGAGACGTTGAGGGTCCCATAGTAACAATTGTGATCTGTATTTAGGGGATTCCTTGTTTGAATCGCAGCTGGAGCATCTGGCTAACGTGACTTAGATTCTTCATGGTTTCTTTTACAGTACCTCCATGCAAATGTTAGCTGCACTTAGTGTCTGTAATCAGGTGACGACCACCAAGGCTTTTGAATACATTATTTACTAATTATCAGCCATTTGATGCTATATAGTTTCCACTATGAAGTGTGTTGTGAAATCAGGAAAAGAAATGTGATGCAGGAGCAGTTTTGAATGTTATTAATAATTGGAAATGACTTTCAGCACCAGAAGAGGTACTGTCCAGCATCAAGATTGAGCCTGATGACAGTGAACTGGAGTTACAGATAGCCCTCAAGAAAGCACGGAGACTGAAGCTGCAGGAGGCTGTTACAGAATCAAAGAACAGTATAGAAAAGGTACATCACATTGGCAGATTTCCATTTTAATCGTTCTCATAAATGTTTGGCTGTAGTACGGGACATTTCTCTTGATCAGTCAAGGTCATCTTCCCCTTACCTGCCTGAGAAAAGAGAGGGGCAGCCCTATGGATAAGTGGTGGGAGGTGATGAAATTGTCCCTAGCTACAGAATTCTGTGCCTGTTTAGTTCCTACACAGATATATGGTTTATAAGAGTCTCCATATGTTCAGATAGAAAATGTATGTAATAGGCTGAACAACAGATGTTTTGAAAATGTGGCACAGTTCAGATATTTGGGAACAACGATAACAGATCAAAACCTGATTCAGGAGGAAATTAAGAGGCGATTGAACTCGGGTAATGCTTGCTACCATTCAGTCCAGAGCCCTTTGTCTTCTTGTCTGTTGTCCAAAAACATAAAAATCAGACTATACAGAACTATAATTTTGCCTGTGGTTCTGTATGGGCATGAAACTTGGTCTCTGACATTAAGGGAGGAACATAGACTGAGGGTGTTTGAGAACAGGGTGTTGAGAAGAATATTTGGACCAAAGAGAGATGAAGTGACAGGAGGTTGGAGAAACTGCACGATGAGGAGCTTCATAACTTGTACTCTTCTCCAAGTATAATTAGAATGATAAAGTCAAGGAGGATGAGGTGGGCAGGTCATGTAGCACGAATGGGGGAGACAAGGAATGCGTATAGGATATTGGTGGGAAAGCCAGAAGGAAAGAGACCACAGGGAAGACCAAGGCGTAGGTGGGTGTACAATATTAGAATGGATCTTAAAAGACATAGGATGGGATGGTATGGATTGGATAGATCTAGCTCAGGATAGGGACCAGTGGAGGACTCTTGTGAACATGCTGATGAACCTTCGGGTTCCATAAAATGCTGGGAAATTCTTGAGCAGCTGCAGAATTGGCGGCTCCTCAAGAAGGGCTCACCTCCATGAGAAAGTAAGTAAGTAAGTAATAGGCTGCACAGAACTTTATAGTAAAGTTCATTATGATGTTTCCTTTTTCGTTACTGTACAAAACCATCGTACCCTAGAGAAACTATGTTGTAATTTAACCTGATGGCTGTTAAATTGTTTCTCTCACATTTCTGTTGTGGTGGGCCTCAAACCAGCAAATCATCCTTTCTTACTATGCTGTGAACCAGAACTTTGCACTATGGCCCCGGGGTCAACTCAGTCTGTAACAGAAATGAGTACCAGGAATCTTCCTTGGAGGGGGGGGGGGNCGAGGAGGTGATGGAGGGGGGGGGGGGTAAAGGGTGGCCGGTGCATAAGGCTGACAACCTCACCGCTGTCTGCGAGCTGACTGTCTAGAAAATGTGGGACCCTCAATGTCTCTCACCCCTATGGGCCTCCACGGCCTGTTGCAGGGATAGCTTTATCTTTCTTTATACTATCATCCTTTCTCATATTTTGGTTATTGAGACCTGTTATGGCCTCCTGTCAAATAGGTACCAGGGGCACTTTCCCCGGGTATGGGAGGGCATGGAGCTGGCTACTCACCTTCAGTTAGTGTATAACTAATTAAGCATAGGGACGGCTTTGCATTTGTGGATACTACAAAACTGAATGCTGTATGGCTACATAATTTAGCTGTTTGTGATTTGTGATGTTTGTAGGTGGCAGAGTCAGTACTGGAGAGAAACTCAGAAGGAAACACAGAAGGTGGTTCCATTGTGCTTAATGCTACAGCAGAATTCTGCTGATTGTTGGGTGACATCGTCACCTATGGTCTGGCTGGCAACAGGGATGAGGACGCTCAGGAACTTCTTGTGATCTGCAGATAAATGTACACTTGGCAAGGACTCTTTGGTTTAGCATGTGTCAAGACTAGATACAGCCCATTGCCCATCTACAGTTATTTACTGCAGCTGCAACAGAATTAGAATATATTTTAATTACAGTTGAATTTCATGATAATGGATATATAAATTACTGAACTGAGTACAGAACTGGAAACATCCAATGAAAG